AATGAGCTGAAACGTTTAATTAGAAATGTTTTTCCCCCCACAAAACCCAGAAGGTTCCAAAATCAATCTTACTGAGAGAATTAAAGTAATATATTTATGCTTGAGAAAAGCAATGCAAAGTATTTATTTCTTAAGAGTAGCCATGCATGAGAACTCACCAATTATGTTATCACACATGGAGAAAAGTAAGCAGGATACTGATTTACCACATAAGCTTGGGTAAAGAGGGAGGGCCATTGCAGGAAGACCCTATGAAGAGATAACATACAGTTCCTGGATTTGCACAATACCTCTGGGGCAAAGCTTTGGTGGCATAATATCATAATAGTTATAATCGAGAAGGCTATTTTCATTGGCCACTGCAAGCCTTGATGCCTCCTAACGAACGCCTTTCGTAGAAGTGGCACCCAGTGATGGAGCAGCAGCTGCTCTGTCACCACAGGCCGTCCTGGGCTACATCCGACTCATCGTATGTTGTTTCGTGGTTACGTCGCCACCTCCCATTTATTTATAATTTAAAAAAGTTCTGTCATTTCGATGTCTGTACCTATGTGCTTTATTTTTTTTTATTATTTACTTACCACAGTAAAGGTCAGGAATTGTTATCTATCTTTTAAATTTTTTTACTGTTTCACTTCGGTGTGTGTGTGCTCCGTGTGAGTGACACAGGTGCTTACGTAGGTGGGTTCCGACTTAGGGTGAAAATCACGTTATGTTGTGCAGTAGAAACAGATCTCTAACGTAACCCGAGGACCTACTGTATTTAATCGCATTTATTTATTTATTTGTTTGTTTGTTTGTTTGTTTGTTTATTACATTCTGGGCATACAATGTCAGAGCATCATTTTATAAATTGACTTAAACCCCAGGGATTGAGTGTAGTCAGCTAGACTATTCTTCAAATTAAACATATTACCTGTATATGCACATAATAAAGAAATCCAGATTTTTAAATAATAAATTAGAGAATGGTTGAATGTTCTTAACTTAGCAAAAAAGTTTACTCAAGACACATCCTTTAGACATCCATCTCTTTAACTGGTTTTAGCATGATTCAGTTTGCTTTATCATCAAACTAGAGGCCCAGTGCGTAAAATTTGTGCAGGGAAGGGTGTCCCTCAGCCCAGCCTGCACCCTCTCCATTCTGGGACATCCCTCTCACAATTCTGGACTGCTGGCTCCCAACCAATTGCCTGCCTGATTGCCTGATTGTCCCTAACCACTTCTGCCTGCCAGCCTGATAATCCCCTAACCACTCCCCTGCCAGCCTGATCGACGCCTTACTAATCCCCTGCTGGCCCGATTGCCCCTAACTGCCCTCCTCTGCTGGCATGGTTGCCCCTAACTGTCCTCCCCTACAGGCCTGGTCACCCCCAACTGCCCTCCCCTGCCGACCTGGTCATCCCTAACTGTCTTTCCCTACAGGCCTGGTCTTCCACCAACTGCCTTTCCCTGCAGGCCTGATCACCCCCCAACTGCCTTCCCCTGCAGGCCTGATCACCCCCAAGTGCCTTTCCCTGCAGGCCTGATCACCCCCTGATCGACGCCTTACTGATCCCCTGCTGGCCCGATTGCCCCTAACTGCCCTCTCTTGCAGGCCTGGTCGCCCCCCCACTGCCCGCCCCTGCTGGCCATCTTGTGTCCACATGGAGGCGGCCATCTTATGTGTTGGAGGGATGGTCAATTTGCACATTACTCTTTATTATATAGGATTTTCTAATTACAGGAGTCATAGGACCTTAAGGGTATATTTATGAATTTTTATAAACTCTAGTCTGTAATTTAGAGTTGAAGAATGAAGAAGAGCTACAGAAGCCCCCAAGTATATAATCTCTGTTTTACTAACCACCTACCTCATCCTTTTATGAGTTGCAAAACAACAACAAAATTTTTTTTGGCTTTTCTTTTTCCAAACATCCTCGGGGAATGTTTCTACTGGGAAATGAAATTGTCCAGGGAGGAAAGAAAATGCAACCAATTGTTTTGAGTTGCTGTCTGTGCATAAAGAAACCAAAACAGTGAAACTCATTTTAAGTCTTTTTTTTTAAAGTGAAAGTTGCTAGTTGATGTTAATTTAGTTTCATTTTTAAAATCAGAACTCTAACTTGGGTTACAAGGCTACTGCTTTCATCAGAAGTTGTAAGGGCCCCTGAAGCAGAAATGAGGGGATTTTAAAATACCATCTTCGATGACCAAATCACTATAAATGAAGATAGGCAATTATTTAGATTTTTAAAAAGTCTTATTAAAAGGTACTAAGTTTTAAAATAAGAGAGAAGTCAGAAATTTAACTTTTATGTTGAAGGAAGAAAATGATGCTTAAAATCGCACGAAGGTTGCAGGTTTACAAACTCAATGCCTTTGGGGCTGGAAGGAAATGAGTGAAGGGGTGTATCCCACTAAAATGGACAGCTCCTCATGGCCGGTGGTTGGAGCATTGGCCAGCACATGAAATTATCTCGGGTTTGAGTCCCTGGGCTTGCAGGTCCAATCCCCAGCCACAAATGGGCATGTGTAGGAGGCAACCAATCAATGTGTCTTTCTCACACACACCACCACCCCCTTCTCTCTTTTCCTTCCCTTTTTCTTCCCTTCCACTCTCTAAAAATCAATGGAAAATATATACTCAGGTGAGGATTAACAAAACAAACAAAAAAAGATAGCTGTGCCCTGGCTGGTGTGGCTCAATTGAGGGTCCTCCCATGCATTAAAAATGTTGCCAGTTTTATCCTGCCAGTGTTGATCAGTGGTTGAGCATCAGCCTGTGAACCAGGAGGTCACTGTTTGATTCCTGGTCTGGCCACTTGCCTGGGTTGCAGGCTCAATCCCCAATGTGGGACATGCAGGAGGCAGCCTATTAATGATTCTCTCTTATCACTGATTTTCTCTCTCTCTCCCTCTCCCTTCCTCTCTGACATCAACAAAAATACATTTTTTAAATGTTGCCCATTTGATCCCCAGAGGTTGTGCAGTGCTGGAAGCCAGTTCCAGCATGTCATAATTGCAAGAGTTTCATCAAAAGGTTGATGGAATTTGGGGACTCAACAAGGGCTGAGTCACATATGGTATGGCCTGCTGGAATGGCTAACGGCATTTCCCAAAATCTGAAAAGGACGATTGCTTGCTGCCAGACAGCTGAGGGCATGCATCTTCATCTGCATGTTCTTGCTTCCAGCTGGTCAAACACCTAAACAGCCGAAGGCAATTCCCCAATCTGACAATGCCTCTGTACAAAACCCTATGCTTTGATGTGTATATCTCCACCTTGCCTTAGGACAGTTTTCATTAATAAAAAGCAAGGGGTCCTGACACAAGGAGAACTTGGTTTCTTTAGCCAGGCTCCTCTGCTCCCACATATGCCTTCAAAATTATGTTTCATCTCTATACTCTTTACTCTTATTTCATTTAAACACAGCCCCTTCTCCAAATTCCAGAACCCTTCTAGATGCTGGATCAAGGCCCACCAGCATTAGTGCAGGAGGCAGCCGATAGATGTTTCTTTCCCTCTCTTTCTCCTTCCCTCTCATTAACGTCAATAAAAACATATATTTATATATTTTTTAAATGAAAAGCTGCCATTCAGTTCCAGGCAACTGCAGTCCCAGGCAGGAATGTGAACCCAGTGTTGAAAACCTTCTGATTTTACAATAATCATGCAAAAACTTTCCATTTTTAAAATATTACATGTTTATTATAAAAATTTTAAGGAAAACAATCCTGGTGAGGAAGAGGGATTGCCTAACTGTATAAGCCACACACAGGCTGGCAGTTTGTGACACGTGGACTAATCTTCCAAGCGCCAGTCTAGTTCTAATCTCATATTATTACTTGGTATAAATATATTGAAATAAAATGCTTAGCATTCCCTTGGAGATTCAACATTAGAAATATAAGCCACTCCTGGAAATAAGCTTTGGACCTAGAAATGATGTTGGACTGTTAATGGGAAAAGTGGGGAGAAAAGACATAGTGGGACTACACAAATTTTAGAAAGAAAGTGAATACCTCCATTATATCTTGTTGGGACTTGCAAAGTTAAATATTAGATGGTCCTTATTTTTATACCTAAACTTTGAATGTTAGAATGTACTGTATTACATAATGCAGCATGGAAAAATGATCATAGGTTAAGTATGGTTTCTGGCCCTGGCCAGTGTGGTTCAGTGATTGGAGCTTTGTCCTGTGGACCAAGAGGTAGTGGGTTCAATTTCCAGTCAGGGCACATACCCAGGTTGCAGGTTCAATCCCCAGTTGGGGTGGGTGCAAAGGCAATAGATCGATGTTTTTCTCACATTAATGTTTTTCTCTCTCTCAAATAATTTTTTTTAAAGTATGGTTTCTGGATCTTGTTAGTAGGTATTAAGCTCTTTGGAAAATACCATCATACTTCAGAAAAAAAATTCAAGAAAATAATAAAGCATACTGACAATTAGGATGAAATATGATTGCCAAACATAAGAAATATTTTCTTTAGAAATGATGTGTTAGTACCATTAGTTGCTAAGGGCCTGGCTGATTAAAACTGAAATAAAATTTAAGCACCACTTTAAAAGGTAAGTCATTTGGACCAGTTCATTCTGAAAGAGAGTATTACTCCCTTTCCTTTCTCACTTGCGATCTGATTTGCCTGAACAATGTGTGTTTTTTAAACACGCACAGAAATCTATTTTTATAACCTTAAAACTCTACCCAAACTGTTATGTTCAGGTCCGCTTAAATACATACACTTCTTAATGCCAGGAGTTCAGACACAAACCCATAGGGGGGTGTGGCCATCACAGGCCAATCGATCATCTCCCGGCTGTTGTAGGACTGTGGTGAGGCGGGTGGGTCTCTGACCTACACTTAACAGCTGTCAGCTTTTAATAGTCTTCCCATGAGGAAATCTTCGCATTTTGTTCAAGACATTTGAACAAAACTCACCTCTGAACTAACAGAGATGTGTGAAGGGGCACTTGGGCTACGAGAAAACGGCCTATATAGTCTTCGCAGGCCGTCCGTCATCTGGACGCAAGGGAGTCGGCGTCCACGGCGTTGAGAAGGTAGAGTTCGGGCTGGCCTGTCAATCCCACGTGGTACTAAGGACAAAAAGATGGAAAGGGTTAGACTGACTTGCATTTAAATATTAAAACTGCCATGTATCTATAAATAGCATATCGATATAGGCCTTTTTTTTTTTCAGTATTGCTACTTTTTTATTTTGGAAAAGAAATGGCTTACCAATTCAGATATAAAAAAAAATAGCTAGGAGCTGAAATAGTTAAGGATTGCAATAGTGCCAAATGCCCTTAGCACAGTTTGCACTTGACTGTTCTTGTAACCTACTTTGCCTACGGGTGGGAGCTTCTGATCAGGATATGAAGGGCAAATGCACCGGCTGCTTTTCTGTTTTAGTACTGTGCGCCAGAAATCAATTTTCAAATGGTCTAAAGCCTAAGCCCCATTGCCCTTCGGCACCTGAGCAAAGTCTTTCATTACACACACACACACACACACACACACACACACACGCACGCACACAAAACAGCTGAGAGAGAGGGAGATGACCTATGGTTCCCAACTTTGTCAGTCTGAATCAGAATCACTTCAGCTGCTCTCACAGCACACGGCAGCCCCTGCTCCTGCAACCCCGAATCCAGATGGTTTGTGTTGGGGTCTGTGACGCTGCACGAACTTTTTCTCTCCTCTCCATACACTGCAGATAATCACTGAGTCTCCTTTTAGCCCTATCATTGCTCAGGGCTTTGGAAATGCTCTTGCCCTTTGGCACTAGCAGCCTGGGAGTGAGTGCAGAACGCAGACTGTAAATCCGTAGGAAGAAAATACTCCTGCAATAGTGGGAAAGGCACTGGCTCCGACTCCGCCACTTCCCGTGACCTTGGGCGAGTCAGGTGCCTTTCGGAAGTCAGGTACCTTATCCTACCGATTTGTAAAACGGAAATAAATGCTACCTTTGCAAATCCCAAGTACATAATATGCCATGTCGTGTTAGTGTTCAATAAGTATGATTGCTTTTAACACGTTACCAACTGCCCTGTATACCTCGCAGGCTTGTGGTGACTGCCTAGAGACGAGGCCAAAGGGAGCCCAAGACAAAACTAGTCTCTACTGACGGGCCAGGTAGGAACTACTGAGTCACGCTGGCCGGGGGGCAGAAAATCAGCTCTTCAGGAATAGCTTGTTCGTTCACTGTAGGATTTAACATCTCAGGGTTTCTAATCCAGAGCAATTGCCAGATATATTGACAATTCACTGCACCCTGTTCTCGATGAGCTAAGGTGGTGGGCCTCCTAGGGAGTAAACAGGATTGGATTATTAGTCCTATATCCCAGAGTGTATCACGAACAGAACTTCGCTAGCAGTTTGTCATACTGCTCTGTGACATTGAGAAATGGGCTACATGGCACACGGTCTGAAATACCCTCTCAGGGGCAGAGAGGTGATGCAAATGAGTAAACTTACTATTAGTTCTTAGCTCCTGCTGGGGTGGGATCATAGAGGGCCCGCCCAGTTTCCACACCTGCCAAAAACGTTACTTTTTTTTTTTTTTTTTTTTTACTTAGCGCAGGCCAAACAAAATTAGTCTGCCAGTTGGCAACTTGTGAGCTAAAACGTATTGTAATACTAATCCGAGTATCAAGCAAATGCTTCCATGTGTTGATGTTTCTTGTGCTTTTAACCACCGAAGCTTGGTGTCTTAAACTCGCATGAAGAGTGTACTATGTATTATGTAGGAAGGTTTGGTAATGATAATGGAGGCCCTGCAGTTAAGCCCTTCAAGTTCAAATGCCAATTGCCCTTTAGCAATTGTAACTCGGGAAGTTATTTTTGCCTTTCAGTTGCCTCACCTATATAGAAGTTGATCCTCTTGTTAAAAGAATTAAGTGAGATTATGAGTGCTTGGACCAGGACTACAACATAGTAATGTGTTAGTCGCTTTAAACGTTCAGACGCTAAGGAAGGTGTCAGGAGAGGCTGACATATTCTGATTCACGGTCCTACCAATGAAGGAGCAGAGAGTAGAGCCCTAGAGAGCCATGTTAAAGGTTCTTGGGTCAGAGGATCTTCAGATTGTTATGCTTCCTGAAATCAAACCCAAATGAAGGAGAGCTAAATGAGATAGGACAACAGAGAGAACGAAACTCCCAGATTACTTCTACAGCATAACCTAAGTGTTTAGCTCTTGTAAGACAGGGAAAGCTTGCAACAGAAGAAGGGAGAATGAAGTTCTGGTGACCCTCTTGGGACAAATGAAATGCTTAGATTTTCCCGTCAGGCGTCGGCGGCAGGGCAGGTAGTTCACTGTGCCTGAACTTGTCTTTGTTTTCACTAAATGGTGCCAACATTTCCATTTATATGGAGTCTGCCAAAATGCTCACTTTAAAAAAAAAAATGTTTTTATTTATTTGTTTTGCAAGGGAGAGGGAGCTAGAAACATCAAAAGAGAAACATGATGGATCGGCTGCCTCCTCCACACCCACTACTGGGAATTTAACCCAAAACCCAGACATGTGCCCTGGCTAGGAATCGAACCAGTGACCTCTTGGTTCTTGGGTCAATGCTCAACCACTGAGGCACACTGGCCAGGATCACTCATTTTTTTACGTAATTTTGGTTTCTCTTTTCAAATATTCCTACTTTTTATTGGCAGTATATACAGAATATAAATGCCTATTTCAATGGTGAAACAAGACTAGTTAGAAAAATGTTCAATTTAGAGCACAGAAAGGGAGAATAACAAGTTTCTTATTTAAATACTAAAGGCCCAGTGCATGAAAATTGTGCACTCAGGGGGTGGGGGTGGGTGTGGGGGTGGGGAGTACTTCAGCCCAGCCTGTGCCCTCTCCCAGTCTGGAAGCCATTGAGTGTCTGCCCCCTGGTGGTCAGTGTGTATCACTGTGACCAGTCGTTCCAATGTTCAAATTCCATATTGGCCTTTTATTATATAGGATGGTAGTGATGTGACCTTTAGCAATAGCAAAAATATTTGAATATGTGGGTAAACAGAAATTAGTGTTTGGTGTCTCAATTCACCAAGTTAAGGATTAAACCTACTAGTATTTATTTCTCTATCCCTTTTAAAGAGGGAATAAGAACAGAGTGGGCTTAATACGTCATTCCAGGGGATGGATGAAGTCTCGATATTTCAGTTCTTGAGGCCCTTATTAATAAAGTGTTTTTAAGGTTAAAAAAAATACCCAGGAAACCAAATTGAAAAAAGAAAAATGTTTTTAATTACAAACCAAGTTTACATATTGTGAAGTGGTCACTGAAAGCTCAGTTGTAAGCACTCCTAACAGCACTAGACAACCTCTCAGGAGCCAAACTACAGCTCTGCCCGTCCCTGTTAATCCCCGGAGGCTGGAGCAGCACAATTATTTCATGTCACATTTATGGAGAACAAGGACCGATTGACAAAGTGTCACTGTGTACCCTTAAACACTCCACACAGAGACACTGCCGAGACAATGCATGTGCCAGCACCGGAAAATCGTGCACTGCGCCCCGAGTGCTGGCTGAGTGCACTCCTGAGACGATCAGATGGACCACAGCATGGGAGCTTTTGACACTGTGACACATTCCACACACGTATGATAAAGTACCATTTCACTGGGAAGAAATTTTCCAATTTTGCAAGTCGTAAATACAACTTTGAAAGGAAAACTGCCAGTTTTTCCCTGGACTTCTAAATATTTGTGAATCTGAGACTGATTGGGCCCACCCAGATTCAGGGCAAAGGTAAATGTTTCCGTACTGTTTTTACAAAGAATTTTTTCGTCAATTTGGCCCTCGCCTACTATAGGCAGACCTACGGCCGCTTAAGGTGTCCTTCTTCAATATCTTCAGGATGAATGGGATGAGGAAAGGTTGGGGAAATGTGTCTTTCATGATACCGAGCAGCTAAGATAAAGGAATGGTCAGTGAAACAGTCGTTCACCCTTAGTGACTTATAAAAGACAATCTATCCAGTCTGTACTTTAGACTGTGCCAAGTACCAGCAATAATGCTTTTAGTGTTCAAATGGACAGAGAACATCAATCCACCATATCTCCAGAAGGAAAGCCCCACCTCTCAAAGAAGAAGTTATTCAATGTCGTTCCCATTTCTGTCCTCACCAAATCAACAGCTATAAACGACTTGATTATTTATCTGCATCACACAAATGTAAATTGATATTGGAGATATCACATAGTCGGTCTCCACGTGAAAAAATGTCGCAAGTGGTGATGAGCAGCAGCTTCATGCTGAAGGGAGCCATCTCCTCTGACTCCAGAGCTCCACCAGCTGGTCTCAAAAAGTTTCTCCCTCTTGGGGAGTGGCTGAAGAGAACTGTGCAACCACCATGATGCCCTACCGACTTGCTGAGCACGCTTGGCATCGGTAGGTCCACAGCTCCGCGGCTGCCTTGCAGGCCGTCCTGGGCACACTTTGGAAAACGTGCCGGTGCTGTAGGAGGTGGCTCTTAGGAACACAACAGATGCTTCTTCTTCTCCTTTCAAGTCTTTTCTCCTTACCCCAAAGTCTCATGAGAACTTCAGTTTATAAATGCTACCATCTTTCTCCATCACCACCCTCCTGGAGGAGGGAGTGAAGGTTTTACAACTATATGTGCTTGAGAGAAAGTATCAAGAAAGCTCTGTGTATTAACATAAAAGTGATTAAAGTCAGGACTCCCAAGAAAATCCTGGTAAGTGCTCAATCTCTGAGGAAAATCTTCTAAGTGATTTTCGAGGTGATTAGTAACCACCACTTACAGGTGAGTTTTGCTATTTGTCCATTTATCACCTTTATGTTTTCTCACCCTCTTAACTTCCACTGAAAAATTTAAAGAATAAATAAACTGAAAGAATTCTAAACCTGATCGAGGTGGTGGTCTCCCAATTCTACATTTAAAATGGATATAACCACTCCAGTTGAGATTTTACTTTCTTATAATTAAAATAATTGAAAGGGTATGCACAAGTATTTCTCAGCCTTTTAAAATCCATTATTTTTTAATAAACAAATCTGCATACCCATTGTGTACTTCTGTTATGAAATGTACTGCATTTTCCAATTCCTTTTAACATATGGCCTAGTTAAGAATCATGCATAGAGACTTCTCTCTCAAAAGGATAAAATAAGCTGGCTCTTCAGCAGCTCAGCAGTTTAGTGTTAAAATGACAGCAGCAAATAGCTTTCCAAAGACCCAGTTCCCAGGTTAGGTCAGGAAGAAAAACCCATCTTTCATACATATGTGAAAGTCTTTCCCAACAAGCATCTGAATCCTAAATGCAGTCTGTGCAACAGCACATACTTTTGTCCATGTTCACACAGTAAACCATAGAAACACACTGGCTCTGATGGCTCCCTGGACCAGACAGACTGATCCAGGGTCTACTTAGTATAGTCATCGGCGGCTTCTTCAGTCAGGACTTTAGAGGTGCTTACCGTGCTCCCACACTCCAGGAAGGACATGCCCAAAGCAATCAGACATTGCCAAATCTGAAAGAGAAAGGAGAGCCATCATTCATCAACCTGAAGAGCCCTCTTACCCACGTGACTGCTCAAAACCGGGCTCCTCAGAGGCAAGCCCGCTCTCTTCCGTGAACACCCAGCTTTGCCTATCTTCTATCACCAAGTCATTCCCAACCCCACCCCCCTTCAAAACACCCTGGAATCTCCTTCTTCATCCAGGTTTCCACACTAGTGACAATGCTGAGCTCCCTCTGCTCCTACTGCTTGGTGTTTGCAGTTAGTTTCTTTTATCGGACTTGGAGTTCCCTAAAGACCACTTTTCTTCATGAGGAGGGGCACGAATGACAGACTAATACAACTGAATAGTCTCCGAAATTGTTCTATGAAGCATATGTTTTGGAGCTAACCTGCAGCAACCCATTCCAGCCTTAAAAAAACAGTCTTCAACAATCTCAAGTCTCGGGCTGCCTGAGGACAACTCGGCACCTTCATGCATAAAGGAAGGATTCCTTTACCTTCTACAGCAAATTTTAAAAACAATTCCTGTCAAGGACATAGTCAGCTGCTTGGATTTCCTTAGAGTAAGTCCCTATAATATATATAGGGTCAGCATGATTTTAGTGTGCCTAAGGTTTACCGGAGAGCAAAAAAAAAGGGGGTGTATCAATTCAGGACATCGTTTTTTCAACATTCACTAAGGTGATTTTTCTCAATCAACCTGTGGCAGACATTGGCATGGGAACTAGGTTAACTGTGGATTTCCAGCCTCCATCCTTAACCATTCTCAGCAGATAAGGTATAAATTCTGCCGTCCCTGATCCTCAACCCTTGTGTGTTTCAGAGAAACCTGTATAGAACAGGGAAGTGGATTTGAAGTTGCTGCTATAGTCATTTTTCATTAATATAAATAATACTATAGATTTGGAAAATAAAAAAAATAACATATCCATAATCCCCTCATCTTAAGACAAGTACTAGTACCATTTTTATATAGTTGACGCTAGAATTTTGAAAAAATTTTTACTAACTGGGTACACATAATTCTACATTCCTTTTCTATGTGGTCTTAGAACCATCACTTTTTAGTAATTCCAAAATAATGCAATGTGATTTATAACTTATTTATTTTCTTACTAGACAGCTATGAAGTAGCAGAGCAGGGCTGTGAACCCACATGATCCACACCAAAGCTCCGAAATCACACCGCAGAGCCCCTTTCTCCAACCCCATTTTGCTCCACTCTCTGCTTTCCAGACTGATCCTCTTTGTTTAGTTCCTACACTCTCCTGTTAGGAATTATTAAGAATGGAAACTAAACAGAAGTGACAGAAATAGAAAGATGATCGCTCTTAGGAACCAAACTTTATGATTATAAATAGTGTTTATAACCAAAAAAGTGTGTATGTAAGTATGGGTGTGTGTGTGTGTGTGTGTACACTGAGTGGCCAGATTATTATGACCACCCCATCAGTACTTTGTTGGGCCACCTTTTGCTTTCAATACTGCGGCGATTCTTCTTGGCACTGACTCCTCGAGATGTGGAAAGGTGATGGGAGGAATCTGACACCATGCCTGATGAATAGCACTGTCCACTTCTGTGAGAGTTGATGGTTGTGGAACTAGCTGCCTGATGGCTCTTTTAACTTTTTCCCACAAACGCTCAATGGGATTGGGATCTGGTGATTGTGGGGGCCACCTAAGCAAGGTAGTCTCCCTCATGTTCTTGAAACCACTCCTGCACAATACGAGCACCATGGCATGGTGCACTGTCTTGTTGGAAGAAGCCATCTCCATTGGGATACACTATCCACATGATAGGATGAACTTGATCAGTAGTGATACTTAGGTATGTTGTGCTATTCAGACATTGTTCCACACAAATTAGAGCCCAAATTATGCCAGGAAAACATGCCCCAAACCATAACACTGCCCCCACCAGCTTGAATGGTTGTATTTATGCATGTGGGTTGCATGCTTTCATGCTGTTTCCACCAAATTCTCACTCTGCCATCTGCATGATGCAACTGGAAATGTGATCCATCAGACCACATGACTTTTTTCCAAGGCTCGACTATTCAATCCTTGTGTTCCTGTGCAAAATGAGACGCTTTATCTTGCTAACAGCAAACATGTTCAAATGGGCCTTCAGCTTCTATATCCCATACGATGTGGTATATGGCTAGTTTGCCTACAAACGTCGGGTGGTCATAATAATCTGGCTGTGTGTGTGTGTGTATGTGTGTGTGTGTGTGTGTGTGTACAGTTTAACCATAGCTGATTTAACAATTTCATGAAAATGATCTCAATAAGCTGAAGATAGATTGTTAGGTGCTCCTTTGGGTGCTTCCTAATGTTAGTCAGCTCCACGCTGTCATCCCCTGATACCTATGCCCCTGCCCCTGCCCCTCCCAACTGGACTTACCAAGTAAAATACGAAGCTCAGATAAACCAAACTGACCACAGCAGCCACCACATACAGAACCATATGCCCAAGACTCTGGACATAAATCACGACAAAGTACATGTTGATGGCGCAGATGACAAAAACCAAGATCCCGCCTGCAATCTTCCAGCCTCTGCAAAAGAATCAGCACCGTCAGTGGTGGAACAGCGCCGCCTGTCCACGCAGAGCAGGGCGCTGCACCTTGTGGGGCAGACCGGGCAGGGGTAGGCAGCATTTCAAAACAGGTGTGCTCCCCATCAGGGGAGCATGCTGACGCCTTCCCATCCCCTCAGCCTCCCCCGCAGGCATGTACCCCCTGCCTCGAAGAGACCCCAAGAGACCTGCAACCAGGGAGCAATGGGCAGTGGCAGCGTCTCCCAGACAAACCCCCACACCTGTCTCCCAGGCCCCTTTTTCTCTGACTTCTAGTGAGTCAGAGCCACCCTGCCTGGGTGCTCTCCTGTTGCTTCTTCCATCCTAAACCCTTCCTTGTTTCATCTTCTCAGCTTCAATAAATGTACTCTCAAAAAAAATAAAAAATAAAAAAATTTAAAAAAACTAAAAATTACCCCAGATTTAGTTAAATAAGCCAAAATTAAACAGAGACACGAAGAGAGAAAAAAAAAAACCGGTTTGGCTCAGTGGATAGAACGTTGGTCTATGGACTGAAGGGTCCCGGGTTCGATTCCGGTCAAGGGCAGGTACTGTGGTTGCGGGCACATCCCCAGTGGGGGATGTGCAGGAGGCAGCTAGTCAATGTTTCTCTCTCATCGATGTTTCTAGCTCTCTATCCCTCTCCCTTCCCCTCTGTAAAACAAAACAAAAAAAAAAAAATCAATAAAAAAAATATTAAAAAGAAAAAGAAAAAGAAAGAAAGATGTGTATGTAAGGTATTAGCTTACACCCTTCTTATTCCGGTCATTAATATGGAATTAAGTCACTTTACACTTCAGCCCTGGCCAGAGTGGCTCAGTTGGTTGGGCATCGTTCTGTGCCCTGAAAGATGGCTGCTTTGATTCCTGGTCTGGGCACATGTTTGGGTTACAGGCTCAATCTCCAGAAGGGGGTGTACAGGAGGCAGCTAATAGATGTTACACTCTCACATCGATGTTTCTCTCTCTCTTTCTCTCTCCCTTTTCCTTCCTTTTTCTCTAAAAAAATCCATAAAAAGTATTTATAAAAAAGATGCTTTAGCTCTGGCTGGTGTGCTTGGTGGTATCGGCCCATGCATCAAAGGGTCGGGATTTGATTCCTTGGTCATAGGCACATACCTGAGCTGCAGGTTCGATCCTCACCCCCAGTCGTAGCATGAGGGAGGCAACCAATTCATGTGTCTCTCTCATATCCATGTTTCTTTCTCTCTCTCCTTCTCTCCCTCCTTTCCACTCCCTCTAAAAACCAATGGGGAAAAAAATATCCTCAGGTGAGGACTAACAAAAAAGTAAAAAAGATGGTTTATACTTCAGTGGCTGAAGCTAAAGAGTTAAAAGCTCTAGCCCTAGCTGGTTTTGCTCAATAGATAGAGTGTTGCCCTGCAGACTGAAGGGTCCTGAGTTTGATTCCAGTCAAGGGCACAAGCCCAGGTTGCGCTCAATCCCCAATGTGGGATGTGCAGGAGGCAGCCAATCAATGATTCACTCCCTCATTGATATCTCTCTCTCCCTCCCTCTCCCTCTCCCTCCTCCTCCCTCTCCCTCTCCCTTTCTCTCTTTCTCCCTCCCTCCCTTCCTCTTCTAAGTCAAAAATTTGAGGAGGCAGTGCTAGCAACCACCCCCCAAGCCTCTGTGACTCATCTTTTGACTGGCCTACTCAATGAAGATATCCTCCCCCAAACAGCTTTGGGGAACTGAGAGAAGCACACTCACATTCCATTGGCAAAGTCATTCATTACTGGCCGCAAGCTCGTAAACGTGAGGATGGGTATGAGAGCAAAGGGAAGCTGGAAAAGAAAAACCTAAGATCAGATGGGGCTCCTAGGGTCCCTGTATCGCCCAGAGGGCAGCACTATTAGTGAAAGGGAAACACAGACTGTGACTCACTTACTCCATAAAAACTTATTCTTATCATCCCAAATGTCAAGCATTATTTTCAAATTGCACAGTTATCACTGACCTAACATCAATTATGATCCTAAGGCTCTTTACAAATATTTGTTTCTGCCTTGTCTTAACCTGCCTAGGACCTAGCAGTGTCCTATATGTCATTTAATATTTTCTTGGCTTAATCAATAATTATTTTGTATCCTATATGCAATTATAATTCCCTTTCAATAGGCTTTAAAAAAAAAAAAAGTTATTTCTAAAAGCCTTTTGGATGCCAGGGATTTCACACACATTTACTGCAGACCAAGACCATGCCTCTCTCTTCCTCTAAAATGTTCCCAGCACTTGGCACTGGGCTTGGTACCTAGGGCAGTCCACAATGCGACCTCACCTGTAAGCTCTGCAGAACATTGAGGAAGTCATTCATCCCGGTTAGATGTTCTACGTCTTGGAAGACAGCAACCAGCAGAGTCGGGATAATGGCAATAGAGCGGGTCAGAATCACTCGGGCAAAGCGTGACCATCTCAGGTTCAGGAATCCCTGGAAGAAAACAGAAACAGAATGAGTGTCGGGAACAGAAAACTAAAAAGTTTTGGAGAGATTCAGGAAGACCTTAAAAGCATGGGATTAATAAGTAACAAAAGGCCAATGTGCCCTTCCTCTAGATCAGCGGTCGCCAACCGGGGTCCGCAGACCGCTGGCGGTCCGTGGAGTCTGAGAGGTTGGCGACCGCTGCTCTCGTCTGTACCAGTCAAAGCAGCACCTACCTCCATGACAAACTGGCCAGAATAGGTTCCTGTCATGGTGGAGCTCTGCCCTGCGGCCAGGATCCCCACGGCCCAGATGTAGAGGGCCGCAGGCCCGAAGTAACATCCCAGCACAATGCCCTGGGGAGCGGGAGGGAGAAGCAGGGGTGTGTCAGTGAACTGCTTAGACAATACCCGAACAGCACGCCTCTCTTCTTTGCTATGCACCCAGCTAAACCGAGAGCTGTGCAGCGCACTGAGTTAGCTCAACTCAGTCCTAACTTCATTCCAAAGCTTTCAACCTAAATTTTGCTGGATGGTCCTTCATTCCTTAGCCTAGTCCTTTCTCTTCCCCAAGCTCCTAAAGCCTTCATCCTCAACCTATACCTGAAATATTAATAAGATTTTAAAAAGTCTACACTATAGTTACCAAATTATACTACTTAACACACTATTTTAGAAGATAATAGGAGTGTATGCTACATCATACACATTCTACCCCTGGAGGCTCACAATGTATCCATTAGAAAAGGACCTGAGCCCCAACGAAGACCAGTTTACCAGGTACACTTTCTCCAGTTGCCCCAGTTAACACCGGTACAACACTCTACTATCAGCACAAGCTTGGGAACTGCTGAAACAATTCATTTTTTTAGCTGATCCTTTAGTCTTTCTGTGTAGTCCAAAATGCTTGCCTAGCATCTGGACTCTGAAATAAATGACACTCCACAGGGAGCTATGCTTAGCTCTGAAGCGGACCTACCGAAAAGACCAGCTATTTAGGCCAAGAATATTGATTGACCCAGAGCCCAAGAACACGAATCAGAATGGTTACCCCTTTGAAGATGTCCACAGTCAGTGTCGAGTTATCATCAGGAATAAGGCCAGTATGGGGGCTGCTGCTGTTTTTACAGACTTCAATCTGGAAAAGAAAGCAGTTTGGGAGCAACTTTTATTTTCGAGGCATGGGCCAGAGAACAGCTCTCACACGCAAGTCATCTATGCGACACAGCCCGAAGGCTAGACTGGGCGCTGCAGGCTGTGATGAGCAGACACGGGGCAAGTATCACTGTGCTCTTCCTCCGTAATCTTTCCCCTCGTCATCAACAAGATTTACTGAGTTAGAGTGTGCGCTGTTGGGTCATTTTAAATGACAGGAAAGGAGGACCCTTAGGAAGGCTTCAAATATGAGAGGACACCGGAACAGGGAGTCCTCAGTCCAAGCAGTCTGGCATCTGAGGTTCTATACATGGAAGTAAAGTGGTGATCAAAACTGGATAGGCAACCAGGAACTAAGACAGAATTCAAAATGACAACAGTCTGTCCTAGCAACAGTTTCTGTTTTGTTTGTTGCCTCCTCCCAACCTACCCTCAATCACCAAATGGCAGGACTGGCAAGCACACTGGCAGCTGATAAACCGGAAACAAAAGGCTAAGGAGATGTGAAACCACTAACAACACAGCAGGGGGCAACCTTTAGCCCGGGGTGATCTCCCTTCTGAGCCAAAAGCAGGGGGAAGGAGCTAGGCTTTCAGCCGCTAGGCTGCACACCCTGGCCAGTACAGGCTTAGGGGACGGTATTGAGGCCACAGATCTACTGTCTTAGATCCAAGTCGTTGTCATATTTTCCTGCCCCGTTCCGGCCTTCACATCACCCTCACACCCACTGCCACTCACGGTCCCGGCTCACTCACCACCTGCTGGTTGGTTTTCTCAAAAAATGCCTCGGCAAAGACTGAGACGACGAAAACATTGATGATGAAGGAAACAAAGAGAGCAATGCAGGATTCAATGAAAAAGTACTTATTGGCTTCTCGAACTTCCTGCTTTTTGGCTCGGTTCACCTGTCTGGACTGGAGAGAAAATAACACAGTCATTTTTTTTTTAACTATTTGGAACAAGTTTCCTTGTAATATTTCAGGAGTTTAGAGACAACTGAAAGGTTTAGAGGGCAACAACTGACCAGGTGAAACATGAGAGAATCGCTTACATCCGTGCTCACTAAGAACTCCGTGACCCTTGGATGACACTGCACATTCCTCAAACAGGTAAGAGACTAAGTGATTCCTGAGCTGCTATTGTGGCCGGAAGAACCAAACACACAAGCAAAAAAACCCAGGCTGTCCTAACAAGTGCATAACCTTAATTATAGAGGTCTCTGAAATTTCCCAGAAAGCTATTGTGTAAGACTGATGGGTAAAAGGTTAGTGGGACTCTTGACTCCTGACCTCCTTAAGGCCACTCTGGGCTTTGAGATTAAAACACAAGAGACTTGGTGTACTTTCAGACCTTTTATGAACAACTTTAGTTCCCGTTTCTGTGGGGTCAGTTATCTCTGGTCATAAAACAGAGTCCAAGTGTGGAGTTTGTAAGTCTAACCATGGAAAAATACCTTGCTCCTTCAAGTTCTAACAGCTGTAAACTAAGTATGTGCCCCTTGCAACTGAAGGAAGACATCTCCTGGCCTATCAGGAGGCCAGTGAGGTGAAGGCCTTGCTCACCTTGACTAAGGCAGAGTGCAGGTACATGTTGTGTGGCATGATGACGGCTCCCACGATGCCCACAGCCTGCTGGATCTGTGGGGTGCCGCAGCCTGAACAGGATGGCAGGAACATGCCCTTGAGTACCTCGCTCTGGCTGGGTCTCACTGTAATATACTGCACACCAACATAACAACGATTAGCTTTCACTGGAATATGAGACCGAGGGAGTAACAGTACTAGGAAACACTGAGCATCCTTTCCTCCCTTCCTTATAACCCCTTCGTCTTCAACAACTACCTAGAATAACGAGGAATACAGAACCATCGCAAACCAAGCAGCATAAGGGGCTTGCTGCCAGAGACCAGAGAATTCAACACTGGGGTATCTGGATATTTTACCTCATTTTAAAAAAATATATATTTTACTGATTTTTTACAGAGAGGAAGAGAGGGGGAAAAAGTTAGAAACATCGGCCGAAACCGGTTTGGCTCAATGGATAGAGCGTCGGCCTGGGGACTGAAAGGTCCCGGGTTCGATTCCGGTCAAGGGTATGTACCTTGGTTGCGGGCATATCCCCAGTAGGGGGTGTGCAAGAGGCAGCTGATCGATGACTCTCTCTCATCGATGTTTCTATCTCTCTATCTCTCTCCCTTCCTCTCTGTATAAAATCAATAAAATATATTTTTAAAAAAAAGTTAGAAACATCGATGAGAGAGAAACATCGACCAGCTGCCTCCTACATACTCCCCACTGGGGATGTGCCCGCAACCAATGTACATGCCCTTGACCGGAATCGAACCTGGGACCTTTCAGTCCGCAGACCGATGCTCTACCGCTGAGCCAAACTGGTTTCGGTTTACCTCATATTTTAGATACACAAAATAGATATGTAGAGAATGTAATTAATATGCTAAAGAAATGAAATAGCTGAGCCCTAGCCAATTTGGCTCAGTGGGTAGAGCGTTGGCCTGCGAACTGAAGGGTTCCAGTTTCGATTCTGGTCAAGTGCATGTACAAGTTGCAGGTTCTTGGCCGTGGTCAGAGTCATGTGGGAGGCAATCAATCAATGTGTCTCTCTCACATCGGCATTTCTTTCTGTCTTTCCCTTTCACTCTCTCTACAAATCAATGGGAAAAAATATCGAGTGAGGATTAAAAAATAAATAAAAAATGAAATGGCTGGTAAGGGCCTTATTGATATTAATTTCACAATAACTCCTATGAGACAGACCCCAAGAATACAGTCAATTCTTAATTATTCACACTTATGCCTCTGATCAGCTATATTCATCTAAAAACCAATGTTTGCCACTAGCATAAGCTGACTCATCCATAAACACTTTTCACACATATTTTTTTCCTGGTTCAGCATTTCTCTTGAAAGCCTTAGACCAAGCTGTATAATCTACTCATAGATTAGATATATTTTTAAAAGTCTAGCCAGGCCAATAAACAGCTATCAGGTAAACCGGATATAGAAAAGGGCTGTTAAGGCATATAATGGTACTGATTCCTAGGAGTGTCTGGGTTGGGGCACAAACCAGGAAGCATCCACCACATCCCTATAGTTGCAATGCAGAAAAGTTCAAGCTGCAGTTGGTATAAACCAGAATGAGCAAAACAGGCCCCTCTAAGTTAACAGCCAAGAAGTATCCTATAACATCCTCTCTAACCCCCTCCAAAGCTGTTCCATTGTCCAGATGGCCACTTTGGAACCAGGGGCTGTAGTCTGAAAAGTTTTAGAAAATTTGTCATTTATTTTTTGCCATCACCATTTATTCTATGTCCTCTTCCACCTCCACCCACCCTCTAGTCATCCTATATAATAATCCTATTTAATAAAAGACTAATATGCAAATTGACTGAACAGCAGAACAATCGGTGGAACAACCAGTCATTATGATGCGCATTGACCACCAGGGGGAATGTAGGAGCTGCCCCCAGGCCAGCCAAGGCAGATGCCAGTGGGCCTTCCCCTCCCCCAATCACCCCGCTGGTCGCCCCACAGATCAGTCCTGATCACTGGCCAGACCTAGGGATCCTACCGGTGCACAAATTTCATGCCCTGGGCCTCTAAATTTTTGACATAGGAGTCCTGCAGATCTTCCTGGACACTAGTCTTTGCTATGAATAATATTCCTTCAAAATTGGCCCAAGACTTAACTGGCTTCTTCTTTTTTTCTTTCTGCTCTTATTTTATAAACATTTTTTATTTTATGCTGAACTTACTCTTGGGCCATAAGTTTTGTTTCCTCAGTTTCTTCTGGGATATCTGTTTTCTTCTGTGCAACTTCCTCTTCTGGTTTAAAAACCACCCGTTTTTTCAGTAAGAATCATGTATGGCAGGGAGAGCTCATGTGTGGGATAATCTGTAAGTTCTGTACCACATCTCTTGGGAGCTTTGTTAACCTAGATGTGCTCAGTGTCCAGAGATTGCACATGTAAATCCTTAAATTCAACATTATTCTCTGGCTTTTTAAGCATGTGCAGCAAAAATTCAGCACTCTTTTTTGAGCCACCAACCCTATGTCCAACCCCACTGTATGGCCTGGGTACACCTACCAACTCCACCAATGTCACGCCAGAATGCTTTGGTAAGGTGACATCCTTCAGACACTTGATGGGCTTTTCAGATATGTATACCCCGGATGGCCTGGGCAATTTCATGAATGTTCTTAGAGTGAACCCAAAAATCTGAACCTCTTAATTTGCATGATTTTGTATGATTTCTGGGTCAAGTCAATAGCAAATTATTTCCATAGGTCACCTCTGCTACTTACAAGAAGAGGAAGCAACTGTCTTTTTCTTAGCATATGCAATACAATTGGACCATCCTAGCATTATTTTGTCTTTTATAATAAAAACAAAAAATAATTTGCTTGTTTGTCTTGAAAAGATAGTAAATAGCCTGGCATACTTGCCTCATATCCAAAAGTGAGGGCCATAACAGTGATGAGAAAGCCAAAAAATGCTTCCAGCTTCCGCAAGCCTAAAGAGGAAAATGCAGCAGTGAGTTTACAGGAGACAGCTCCCCATCAGACACAGGATGGAAAGGTAGCTTCTTGGCTTAACCACTCCATTCCCACTCTACTCACCATATTTGTCCAGAAAGAGAAATACAAAAGTATCTGCGATGGTGATGAGAACTCCACCCCATAGGGGAACCCTAGAGCAGAGATAAGAAATGGAAATTAAAGTTAAGAGAGAGAAGTACTTTCTTCCCAACAGCTCTCCACACATACCACTTCTGGAGAAGCAAGGACTTGGCGGGGGGGGGGGGGGGGGGGGGGGGGAGGCGGGGAGGGGCAGGAGGCCAGGCCTTGGGTAGTTTAGGATCACATGAATAATATTCACTCAAACTTGACTACCTACTAAGTCAGACATTAGGATACATAGTTGAAAAGAATGCGTCTTGCCCTGACAGGTTTGGCTCAGTGGATAGAGCGAGGCCTGCAGACTGAAGGGTCCCAAGTTCAATTCCGGTCAAGGGCATGTACATTGGTTGCTGGCACATCTCCAGTAGGGGATGTGCAGGAGGCAGCTAACTGATGTTTCTCTCTCATTGATGTTTCTAGCTCTCTATCCCTTTCCCTTCCTCTCTGTAAAACACATCAATATATTAAAAAAAAAAGAAAGAATGGGTCTTACCCCTCAAGGAACTCATTGTTTACTGGGATAATTTGGCATACAAATAAATAACTGTAATCCACAATAATACATCCTGCATAACAGAGGTGTATATAATCCAACACGAGAACATGGAAGATAAAGAGCTTACATCTTCCAGGACAGAGAAAGGTGGTCCCACAGAAAATATAATAAACTTGAGTTGACTCTTGAAAATTAAAAATGAGTTGGTTTTTTTTTACATTTGCTTTGAAATCTAGCAAAACACTACTTTCTAGAGGAAAACCCCCTCACCTTCCTACAGACAGGAGATTGATGGCAATGGCTGAGCCAATAACTTCTTGCATATCTGAGCCAATGATAGCCAACTCCACCATCAGCCACAGGACAATTCGTGGGACCTAAACACCAAACAGAAGAAAGACATGGTTCTAATAAATAACTTCTAAGAACTTCCCCCATAATTTGGAATTCACATTTTGGAACTGACCCATCGGCAGTCCTTTATAAGCCTTCAGTGTAGAGATAAAGACCCATCATTGCACGGTGGGCCCTCGCTACAGAAAGCAAGTGTGCTTCCATGCAGCGGAGCTTATAAGTCAGGGCCTAGGCAGCAGCTGAATCCTAGTTTTTTTTTTCTCTTTCCTTTCCATTCAAGAGAGGAATGGAATTTCCATTCATTAATTTCCACTTAATTTCATGCCTAAAAAAACAATCCTAAGTCTTAGGGGGAAATGATGATACTAATATGGTCAAAATACCCTGTTTCCCCGAAAATAAGACAGTGTCTTATATTAATTTTTGCTCCCAAAGATGTGCTAGGTCTTATTTTCAGGGGATGTCTTATTTTTCCATGAAGAATACGGTACACATTTATTGTTAAATGAAAATAAAGGAAATTTATTACCTGTATATGGTACGGTAGTACAGTTGTCAACACAAACCAGACAAACTGTGAATCCTACAGTATTAAGAATTTACTCATTTATTCAATGACAATCATGTTATCATCTTCTGGAACATTATTATAACAATCCAATTCCTGAATTTCCTGGTGAATTTCTTGTGACTCCATTTCTTTCAGAATCAGTGGATCAAATCTCTTTTTAGCCTTGGGGGGGGGGGGGGGAGGCGGCCTTATTTTCGGGGCGATGCCTTATATTTCACCAGAAGGAAACCTGTAAGTAGGTCTTATTTTCAGAGGATGTCTTATTTTCGGGGAAACACGGTACTATTCAGGAGCGAATAAAAAATATCTGAAGAAAATATCAATCCTGATTATAGCCGAAGAGACATAACAAATGTGAAAAGGCTGAGTCTTCCATAATGTAATAACAACACAGAAGTAAAAAAGGACAGATGCAAAGGGACTCAGGGCAAAGTGGTTGGAATTGGGCAATGTATGGCAAAACAGGGAACTAATCTGGTCAAACAATGCAGGCCGAAGACAAATCTAGTTAATGCTGGTTCACTGAGCACAGAAAAAGAATACCTCCACGCATCTACTACCCAAAGAACAACTGCTAAGATACACAAAGAAAGAGAAGCTAAAAGAAATTATAAATTACCAGGATTTTCTTTTAAGAAGCATATAAGGAAGAAAAAAGAAAAAAAGATAAGGGTACTTTCTCACAGCCAGGAAAGGAGATTAAACATTTAGGACAAACCAGAGGTATATTTCCAGTATCTCATCTAAAGATGAAGCTAGCCCTTAATCAGTTTGGCTCAATGGATGGAGCCTTGGCCTGCAGACTAAAGGGTTCCAGGTTCGATTCCAGTCAAGGGCATGTACCCTGATTGTGGGCACATCCTCTGTAAAAAATCGATAAAATATATTTTTTAAAAATAAATTTAAAAAATAAAGATGAAGCTAAGGCCCAGCAGGTGTGGCTCACTGGTTGAGCATCAACCTATGAACTAGGAGGTCATGGTTCAGTTCTTGGTCAGGGCATATGCCCAAGTTGCAGGCTCGATCCCCAGTGTGCAGTGTGTAACAGACAGCCGATCAATGATTCTCTCTCATCACTGATGTTTCTATTTCTCTCTCCCTCTCCCTTCTGTTAAAAAAAGGAAAGGCTCTAGCTGGTTTGGCTCAGTGGCTAGAGCATCAGCCTGCGATCTGAAGGGTCCTGGCTTTGGTTCCGGTCAAGGGCGCATGCCCATGTGGTATGCTTGGTCCCCAGTGGAGGGTGTGCAGGAGGCAGCTAATCAATGATTCTCTCTCATCATGGATGTTTCCATCTCTCTCTCCTTCTCTCTTCCTCTCTGAAATCATGAGAAAAAGAAAAAAGATGAAGCTAGGGTAAAGCTATCTTCTAGACACAGGCTCCAGTTCCACCTTAGGTGGCAGTAAGAAAGGCTCCAGGAAGTGTCCAGAAGGAAGATGAAGAGAACAGTGTCACACCCAGCGTCAGGGTTAATTGAAAACTAATAGAGGATCCAAAGATCCTGCCACAAACAGTTTGTATTATAAGGAAGAAACTTATTTTTTCTAATTGTTAGCAAAGTCAAACAAAAAGAAAATGCGTATATTGCAAAGTGATTGAGTAATATGAATGCATGACTGGAAGTGCTTAGAGTAGCCCCCACCACGCCATGGGCTGGGCACTACTAGATGTCAGAAGGCAGAATGAATGGTAAATGTTTACTCAAACAGGTTTTTCTAAAGAAACTTTTTGAAGGAACATAGAAATGTGGCTTGGCAGAAAGAGGGGCCTAGAGAATTTCCTTGGGACTCCCAGTCCTCAGGGCCACTGACCCCCAAGTCCTCCACTGCTTCATATACAGTAGTGGGGCCAGCACATACTGCATGACAGATTCCTATGTGAGTGACAGAAAAACAGAACAGTTCTCGGCTCACCTTGGGATACTGACGGTAGCAGACTTCAGCAAGATGCAGCCCCGTGACCACTCCCAGTCTAGCCGCCAGGCGCTGCAGCAGGAGTCCCACGATGGTGGCCAACAGAAGAACCCAGAGCAACTAGAGAAGAACAAAACCCACCGTAACACTCACAGGCAGCAGGTGTTTTTTATCTGGTTGTTGGCAATGAGAAGGGGAAGCACTACATTCAGGAAAGAGCCCAGGTCAGGGACCAAATGACCCAAGTTCTGTATCAGGTTCTACACATGACCTGGCATGTGTCCTTGTACCCCGCTGAGCCTTACTTTCTCCCATCTGTAGTTTCTCCTTTACTCGAGGGAACTGTGTGGGTGAAATAAAAAACCAACTATGTGGATAAAATAAAATAAAAAACCAGATGGAAAAGTACTTTTCACTTAAACATCACCGTAGATTCAAAGGTTGATGCCCACCAGCAGAGTAAAGGAAAAGAATGTGAATGTGTTGTGTGTGTTTAAAAGGGACACGGGCCGAAACCGGTTTGGCTCAGTGGATAGTGTCGGCCTGCAGACTGAAAGGTCCCAGGTTCAATTCCAGTCAAGGGCATGTACATTGGTTGTGGGCACATCCCCGATAGGGGGTGTGCAGGAGGCAAGCTGATCAATGTTTCTCTCTCTTCGACATTTCTAGCTCTCTGTCCCTCTTCCTTCCTCTCTGCGAAAAATCAATAAAATATATTTTTAAAATAAATAAATAAAATAAAAGGAACACGGGTAGAACTAGACATTTACCTTAAACCCAGCCACTGCTCCAGACTGCAAATCTGATTCGATGTTTCCTGGATCGAGGTAGGCAATGCTCATAAGAAAGCCGGGTCCCGTGAAAGCCCATAGTTTACGGAAGCTAAAACAGGAGTGCTGTACAAGAGGAAAGAGATCAGACTGATCATCACCTCCATACTACCGATCTGTTTCATCATACGCAAAGCAACAAGAACAAAGGATTGAGGATGGTGGATACTGGGTGTGCCCAAGTTTCATGGCACATTTTGTCCACTTATTATCAATAAGTTGGCCCCTTTTCTGTCCAAGTAAAGAGCCTTTCCCCTTACCTTTCTCTTTTCCATCAGCCTCTCATTTTAAAACAAGAGTAACAATATCAGTACCTCTGTGCTCAACCACTACCCAAATGGGACAAAAGCTGGTTTGTCCCAGTGGATAGAGCGCAGGCCTGCGGACTGAAGGGTCCCGGGTTCGATTCCGGTCAAGGGCATGTCCCTTGGTTGCGGGCACATCCCTGGTGGGGGGTGTGTAGGAGGCAGCTGACCAATGTTTCTCTCTCATCGATGTTTCTAACTCTCTATCCCTCTCCCTTCTCTCTGTGAAGGAATCAATAAAATATATTAAAGAGAAAAAAACGCTGTGGTAAAAGAGGAACATAAATCACATACTTCTTTGATGTAAGCATTTCTCATTGGCAACAGTTTTCAAGGCCCTCATTTTCCTGAACAGCTTCTATTTATTCTGATTTTTTAAAATCGGCCTTCAGAGACTGTGTGCCAAACTCAGACCTGAGGCTGTTGATCTTGAGTTGTCTGGCAGGCCCGTTACACACGTTTTCCTTACATAACTGCTTTTTCTCCCCCGGACCTGTCACTGACCTCCTCCTCAGGAATGGGAATCTTCTCGTCAAAGTAGGTGGTGAAGGGCTCCTCGGAGCCCCCGGGGGACTGCGGGAGAGAGGAGCTGCTGTAGGCAGGGTTGATGGCGCCGAGGCTGGCAGAGTCCCCATAGTCTTCAGAAGCAGCACCTGAATAAATAAATTTGAAAAGATTTTTTTTTTAAATGAGCAAACTAACAATTCATCCATAATAACAGTGAAATTAAATCTTTAACACCCTAAAGGCATAAGAGTTACCTTATCTGAGTAACTCTGTATCTCAATTTATTTCTAATACTTTTTTTTATTTTAAATAAATTAACTTTTCAAATTATTTTCTTAATCCTCACCTGAGAATATGTTTTTATTGATTTAAGAGAGAGAGAGAAACATCAATGTGAGAAAGAAACGTCAGTCAGTAGCCTACAGTATGCACCCCAACTGGGGCTCGAACATGGAACCTTTAGTTGTTCGGGACAATGCTCCAACCAACTAAGCCACCCAGCCACGGAAATAAATTAATTTTTGAATAAGCAATACATTCACATGACTGAAAATTTGAGAAATAAAAAAAGGCTATGGCAAAAAAAATCTATCACTTCCTTCTGCAGTTATTCAGCTCTACATCTGTTTTTTGTTTTGTTTTTTTGCTTTTTTTTTTTTTTTTAATACCTTTTATCAATTTCCGAAAGGAAGGGAGAGGGAGAGGGAGAGAGAGAAACATCAATGCTGAGAGAGGTTCACTGATCAGCTGCCTCCTGCAGGTCCCCCACTGGGGATCGAACCCACACCCTGGCATATGCACTGCTCTCCTGGTTCATAGGTGGACATTCAACCACTGACCTACAACAGCTGGGCTCTATATCAGTTTTAAGACTACTTACATAGTCTCACAATGGTTTTCCTACTTTCATACTTCTATTCCCACTTGGCAACTTTAAAAACCATTTCATTTTCTTCTAAGAACACTCATGTCTAGGATTCAAAATATAACATCCCCAGACTAGCCTCTTTGGTAACCTAAAATCCTACTTTTACAAGAAAAACAAGGTCAATCTAGTGGGAAACACACCACCACCACCACCACCATCACCATCCCTCCTAATATTTGGTAGGACTTACTCAAAGAAACTTCCTTGGACATTATACCTCCGGCAGGCTTCTCAAAAAATGTGGAAGTTGCAAAATCCTGCCACAGTTCGGGCTAAAATCTGAGGCTGCCGGAAAACCACCAGGCAGGAACCCCTTTGCCCCCTGACTAAGGCCGCAGGAAAGAGTGGCAGGCCACGTGGTGACCCTTGTGACAGGAGGACTCATCTAAGACTGATAAGTGTTTCCCTGACTTTGGTATTATGAAGTTAATCTTAAATGCAGGGAGGGATAGGGATTAGGGACTGGAAGATAAGGGCTAATCTGCCAAAAAGATACAAAACCAGGATTGCTGTAGACATCAAATGGCTATTTTGAACCACAAAACTCTAATCTCAGTGTTTCTAAGAAATCCTTATAACCTCCAATTAGAAAACAAAAGCTTTCTTTCTATATGGAAACGTATTAAGAATTTTTTTTAGTTATAAAAAGGAATGGAAATTCTAAAGGGAAAACTTAGAATTAGGAAGGATTAGTCAAAACAGTCAAGAAGTTCTAATCAAATACAGAAGGTGCACACCCAGTACTTTTCAGCTCCATACATATCTGAATTGCCATCAGCAGCCTAGAAGGAGGGTTTTATGACAAGTCTGTGAATATATTGCCTTTGCAGGCATTACTGCTATAGAAACCAAACGTGATGCTAATCTTGGCAGTCTCAGAACTGGAAACAAGATGAGGCAGGTAAAAAAAAAAAAAAAAAAAAAAGATGAGGCAGGTCTGTGGTTATAAATCCATTTTCATTTACAGCTTAAGTCACCAGATGGTGACTTCTGAATGGAGCAGATCTCCATGAACATGTTATTGGTCGAAGGAGGGCAAATGGGAACATTTTTTATTGGAATAGACAATGAGAAAGAAAATATGATAAATTTCTATATCCAAATAATAATTAGACAATAACGCAAAAACTGTGAATTACCATCTGGCATCTTCTGTTCAGGCCCCAACACCATGGTTTTCTTGGAATAGGATTCTGGAAAGCAGAAAAGGGGAGGAAGAGAAATGAACAAGAACAAACTTAACAAGTTCAGCAACAGCATTTGCACTCTGTACAACCAAAGCCTTACTCTATGAAAAGAATAATCCTTCTATTGAATTAGATAACCTTGAAAATAATTAGTTTTTTGAGTATTATTAAGGGATAATTAAAATATTAGTCTTAATCATGGTTTTGCTGGCAAGATTTCAAAACCAAATTGGAGCAGGCAAATGTTTTTTTTTTTTTTTAGAACCAGGTCCTCTAGTTTAGCACCACGTTCCCCACACACGTGTTGCATGACAGGCGAGGGGGCGGACCCCCTCCCAGGACCAGGACCAGGGCTGCACGGACCAGTCTGATGCCAGAGGCAAAAGCTTCTGAATAAACCTCCACACATGGGCTGCTAGGCAATCACCCAGTCTCTGCTTACCTCCAGATAAATCCAGAAATCAAGGCTGACTTCTCTCATTTTGAGTTTTTAATATTTTTAATTGATTGACTGATTTTAGAAAGGGAGAAACACTAATCTATTGTTCCACATAATTATGCATTCATTGGTTGATTCTTTTATGTTACCCTGACCAGGGATGGAACCGCAACCTTCACCAATGGGGACAGGACGGTGCCCTAACCACCTGAGTAGCCTAGCCAGGCCTCATTTTTATGAGTTTTTAAGTGCAGAAACCTAAAACTCTCTCTGACCTAACAATTTAAACTTGAGAAACAAAGTGGAAAAATAAAAGAGAGACACAGTGGTTATTAACTTTAGGTAGGCTGAGGCATCAAAGAAATAATTATTCTTATTTAAACTGACTCTGAGAACTTAAGTTTTTTAAATTTCCAGTCCTATCTGAATATCAGTACATTGTGCCTTTGATGCCTCTAGTTAACCATCTCAATTACCTCAAAAAGAAAATGTTCTATTGTCTAAAACACCGGACATCTGAGGATTACCATCCTGGGCCAATGCGGGCACTAAGAATGCAGAACTGATTCTCCTCAAGAATGGACTTTTTACTAAAAACATTCAGACTTTTCTTTGTCCTCAGGAACACTCTTGATATTGCCTAGTAGTTGGGAGGCTTCAATTAGAAATAAATGACAAAGATTTATTTAAGGGCCCAGCCAGTGTGGCTCAGTGGTTGAGCATCAACCTATGAACCAGGAGATCACAAGTAGATTCCTGGTCAGGATACATGCCTGGGTTGCAGTCAATCTCAAGTCTGTGTGTGTGTGTGTGTGTGGGGGGGGGGGGGGGCATGCAGGAGACAGCCAATCAATGATTCTCTCTCATCACTGATGTTCCTATCTCTGTCTTCCTCTTTCTGAAATCAATAAAAATGTATTTGTTTAAATATTTATTCGAGGGCCTTATGCTTCAGTTTATGGAAAGGGAAAAGCGCCTCACCAGCACACGGATAGTGGAGGGCCACTATTTCCTAGCTTCATGTTTCCCCAGGACAGACGTCAGCTCTAATGTTTCAGTCTCATCCCCCCGCCCCCCACACAGTTGGGAGGAGACACGAGCGACCATGCCCTCCACTCCTGGACCTCAGTGAGCGCTGAAGCGGGAGGCTGCGCCTGGTTCTCCAGACGCCGCACTCCTCTCAGGCCTGCAATAAGCAACCTGTGGGGATGAGGAGTTGTCCAAACTGTCCCACATTCTGTTGGATTAAGTTCAACTGGGTGTGAAAAGGTATTAATAAGCCCATTTGTGTGTTTTTTGTTTTTTTATTTTATTGATTTTTCACAAAGAGGAAGGGAGAGGGATAGAGAGCTAGAAACATCGATGAGAAAAAATCATCAACCAGCTGCCTCCTGCACACTCCCCACCGGGGATGTGCCTGCAACCAATGGACATGCTTTGACCGGAATCGAACCTGGGACCCTTCAGCCCACAGACTGATGCTCTACCCACTGCGCCAAAACAGTTTCAGCATTAATAAATAAGCCCATTTGACCACAGATCTATGGTGTATTCTCCAGTCAACCCCGCCAATAGGCTTGATTTTTTAAATTTCTGATCTACTAATTAAGGAATCTACTTCTTAGTCAATTCCAAATTCAGAAGGGGAAGAGAGGGTAATAATAACTCTCCTTCTGAAGAAGGTCTGAAGACTCCCCTTAGCTGTCTTTTACTTATGTTCCTTATGTTTAAATTGTCTTTTCCACTTATGTTCCTTTGTTCCTCCTAACTGATCAGTCCTCGACTTTGTTTTAGACCATCTATCCACCAACATATTCTATGTTACACCTATCTTATAGGGTTACAGAATTCAGACCCAAAGGGGTCTTAGCTTTCATCTGTTTTCTGGGGTATAAAACACACTACCACAATGTTCATCTCTGCAGTAACCAATATTAGGTATTTTGTTATAATGTAAGACAAGCCATATTCCTCCTATCAGGTCTGAGCCACCAGCTGGCTCAACACCAGGCAAGAGATCCCAAGCCCTCGTTCAGCCAGTTACCATAGCTCCTCACCAAATGGGACTGACACCTGATAACTCAGAGCAGCAATGACCACTTGCTTCCTATCACAGTACAGAGCCTTTTTACTTCTAATTCTGAAAAGCCAGGTAATCAGGTTTCCTGGCCCACAATGAATTAGAAACCACAAATCCGATTTGGGATTAAGGCTGTCACAGAAAAAGGTTTTGGGCCATTTGATCTGAGGCAAAGAGCCCTTCCTTATACTTCGATTAGCTCTGAGAACATTATTATTAAGAAGAATAATTGCCCTAATAGGTTTGGCTCAGTGCATAGAACATAGGCCTACGAACTGAAGAGACCCAGGTTCGATTCCAGTCACGGGCATGTACCTTGGCTGCGGGCACATCCCTAGTAGGGGGTGTGCAGGAGGCAGCTGATCAATGTTTCTCTCATCAATGTTTCTAACTATCCCTCTCTCTTCCTCTCTGTAAAAAACAAAACAAAAAAACAATGAGGGGGCAATGATAAGATATGTACACATATAATACCTTTAAGAAAATGAAAAAAGGAGGAAAAAATCAATATGTTTAAAAATAAATAATTTTTAAAAAGAATAATTATCTTATTCTTAATTACACTAGATGCCCAGTACACAAAACAGTGCACAGGAAGGGTCCCTAGTCCTGGCCAGGGATCAGGGCCGATCAAGTTCCCCGCCTCTAGCCTCCTCCTTCCCTCACTCCCTCAGCGCCCCAGCCACCACCCCGTGTTCCATGCCACCCCCTGGTGGTCAGTGCATATCATAGCGAGCAATCAAACTCCCAGTCTCCCGCTCCCAAGGGAACAATTTGCATATTAGCCTTTTATTATGTAGGATAATTAATATATTATTATTATATCAAATTTCTTAACTGTGGCCTTACTCACCAAGAACTGATTAAATTAGATTATTTTTGTAGTGATGCATGATATTCTATTTAAGAAGACATAGAAGTGCTTTTATACATTTGAGGAAGATTTCAATCCAAAATAGGCTACTTAACATATATTTAAAAAGCAATGAATTGAGGCACGCCCCCTTCCAGGAGCACCTTTCCCTTCCCTTTCCTCTTCCCCCATGGGCATGCATCTCCTAAATTCCAAAGGACCCTACAAGATTTACAACCAGGGACACAATGGGCAGCAGCTGCTCTTCCCAAGCTAATCCCCCGAACCTGTCTCCAAGGTCCCCTTTTCTCCGACTCTCCATGTGACATAGCCCGGCCTGGGCTCACTTTCCTGGAGAGCCAAAGCAGCCTCACCTCCGCTCTCTCCTTTATCCCAAATCCTTCCTTATTTCCTGTCCCCAGCTTCATAGCGTACTCTCAAAATAAAAGGCAAACTACTGAGACAGTGTTTTCCCCAAGCCTGTAGTCAGCAGAAGTGATAAAGAATAACTAGACAGAAATGTTTCATGATAAAAAAAATTTAATAAATATCACTAGTCTAATTGATTACTCCTATACTAAATACATATAAAGCCATTAATATATAAGAAGCTAGTCTTCTCTCTGAAATCTCAGGAATGTATTATTCCAGGAGAGAACTGATTCTAGATCCCAACTTTCTCATTAAAACTTTTCATTAACAAACCACAAGCTCCGCTGTTTGTAGTGCATATAGGACATAACTGGACAGGGAACAGAGAGGGCCAGTTATGCGTGGCGTGCTGCAATTTTTGAGCCTCCATGAAAGTTTAAGATACATATGGAAGCTGTAAGTTAACATTAAGGTAGTTTTGCTCTCTAAGGCCATACCACAGGCCATTTTCAGTCACTCAGTTACATTAAGGAAAAGACAAAGTTGAGATATAAACAACCAGAATCAACTCAGCAATACTCTGATAATTATGATTAATATGCTAGAACACTCCAACCATAAAGTATCACTTTCTCTTATAGCCAGTAAGATTCATCTTATTAAACAGCAATCAGCAACAGAAAAATGGTTAAGTGTAATATAATTATTTTATCTTATTCCTTATCAAAAGTTATAAGACTATTTTACAGTAATAAAATGCTAATAAAATTACATTTTTTGTCCAAATGTCATTAAATCTACATATCCTTTGACTCAGCAATTCTACTTCTAAGAATACATCCTATACACTCACATAAGGAAGTATGTGCATATTTCTCATAGCATTATTTGTAGTATCAAAAGACTGCAATATCAAAAAAACAACCAAGCTATTAGTAGAGAATTGATTAAATAAACTATGAACATTCATACGATGGAATGCTATGCAGCTATTATAAATAAAGCAGATCTACAGATATTGGAAATAATCTCCAACATATGATGTCAAGTAAAAAAAACAAACAAATCAATTTATAGTATGCTATCATTTGTGTAGGAAAATAAAAAGAATACACAGGTGTACACATATATACTATCCCCAAAGGACAGTAAGTCAAAAACTGGTAATGCTGTCTCTAACACGAAGAAGTGGGGGAGCCCAAATGAGATTAGGTAAAAGGAAGACCTCTCAATGAATACACATTTAAAATTGTATTAAAAAT